CACAATTGTAAGTTTGCAAAGAAGCATGCCTAGTGCACCAAACCTTATGCTTTCAATATGTAAGTCGGCATTACGACTGAATAGAAATCCTGGTTTATATTTTTCGTTTTTTTTTCATTGATATCTAAAATTTGGTCATTTAAAGATTGTGACAATTATGAGGGTGGGTGCTGGTTTTAGCCTAAAGTCAACCTCCACTCACAGACCTTTTGAGCACAGTTAGTATGAACATGAAACTCTCTAGCTAGCGGGAGACCTAAAAAAGCTTAGCATATAAGCGGGGACGGGTCTAATGAGAGTAGAGACGGTCAGACGGATTCAGAAAAATTTATTAGTAGGAGCAATATTTATGTCAAACATAAATATAAATGTTCTTTAAGAAAATATAATTATAAGTATTAATTAAAGTAATATATAAATAAATTATATGAAAAGCTTAAAAATATTTATTAATTACATTTGCATCATAAATTTGATTTTGTAATAAACAAAAGAGTAAATAATATTTTAAAGATGTATGTTTGATAATTTGAACGAGAATACAGGAAATTGCAATTTTTAAGAAGGGGCAATAAGTGTAATTTCAACAAGAAAGTATGTGAAATTTCTGCTATTTTAGTTTTGCTCCCTCTTAATTTTTATCTCCCCTTAAAAATTATGAAATTTTTAGATTTAATGAGCAATATATTATTTAAACTATTGTGAATGTCATCCTAAATGCTAAACTAGTGAAATGTGTAATTTTTTTTAATTTTTAAATTCTAAACACTTAAAATCTTATCAATAAATCATAAAAATGTGACTGTTGCCTTTTAGATTGAGGGGCACGCTCACACATATTGATGTAGTACTCATTCCTTCTCACCATTGCTAACGTACCATTGCTGACATTGCTAACATGCATGTGAGTAGGCTTCACAGCTTGAAAAATAACAACTGTTTCATGAAAGGTTTTTGAAAGTTGAAATTTTAAAAGTTGAGAAAATTTTTTACATATTTTATGAGTTTACAATTTAATATACTATTCATACAATAATTTAGAGGTATATTGCTCGTTACCCCAAAATTTTATAAAAATTGATAAAACCATCTTTATCTTGAAATTTTATCCCCATATTTATCATTATGAATATGCCTTTGTATACAAAATTAAGTATATAAGTTTATATATATATAAAATATTTTCAAAACAAGAAAATATAGCATATTTGTTTAGACATAAATTCTTCCTGCAGAATTGAAGTAAGCATTTTTTTAATAAAGGTTATGTATATTATAGACAGAGCTATTCATGCATATAGATAGATAGACATTTTCACTTCAAAATTAATAATCAATATATATATATATATGTAAAAATAATTTCAAATTTTGTTAACAAGAGTTAACATCAATTAATATTTCAAAGTTCTTGGCGGCCCATCCTTTGTTAGAGCGTTGGATGTGCTAGCTGATTCATCACATGATCTCAAAATTCAAGCGAAAAGATGTAACAACATAGAATAGAGCATCTATATAGAATCTAGGAGTGATTTACTGCGAAAAGTCCTGCCCTAAAAAACTTTTTCTTGATATAGAATACAGCATCTATGCAAGACTGTAACTATTTTCAAACATCTTCAATCAGGATACTGGACGTGTGGGAGTAACAATAACGTCAGTGAGTAGTTTACAGTCAAATTCAAGTGCCACACGTTTTCATCCATGATTATATATAAAGTTTAAATTCATTCATGCCACTATTTTTTAACAGGGAAAATTACTCGCTCCTTACGACCAACATGAAAAATAGGGGAAATTACACCCAGTCCTTAGGAAGTCATTTTAAACACTCCTCCCGCTCTTGGTTGTATGAAATTTGGATTGGAGAATTAAAAGTGGAACTAATGAAAAATGGATTGTATGAAAATTGGTGAAACCCATTTCTATTTTCATATCCGTATACATATCCATGAAACTTATTCCTTCCTCACTTCCTTCATAAAATTACGACTCATTTTTACACGTGTATGTCAAACATTTTAAATCTTCCTTTTCACATCACTTTTTCCCCTCTTCCTCTTTTGCCTTCACTTCCATAAAAAGCTTTTACATACTGCTAAACAGGCTCAAGATATCATAAAACTATAATATTACATTGGAGTTCAAAGTTCCCTTTCTTGTATATAATTGGGTTAAGAGGCAAAAATATTCTAATAATTTTTTGAAAAAAGTAATAAGTATCCTTACATTTTAGAACGAATAATGTTGCATTGCAATTGTTAGAAGTTGAGCAATGTCACCTTTTCCAACTTTTGACAAACATTGACTAATGGAATTTTGATAAACTCTCCACGGCAATCATACTTCACTCCATGCGCTGGCGTCATGCTTCACCTGGAAGGCCATGTTTTGGAACAAAGGCTTCATCGTCTTCCTTTTTCCAAGACACAATCATTTCTCTTTTGGCCATCCTCTTTCTCACTCTCACCATTAGCATCACTCTCGAAGCTATCATCCACTCCTTCGATTTAGGACTGCTAGAAACCCGATAAGCCCCTTCTCCCACAAACACCGACATTACTTCCTCCCTTAGACCCGTCTGCCATCGTGAACACTTCCTCACCAATTCCCTCCTCAATTAGAGCTTTGCCTGATTTCTTGAAGCATCATGAATGCTTCTTGGACTGGAGCTCTAGTACTTGTAACTTTTTTCCCCATAAAAAAGGTGTGTTTCTCACTTTTCTTATGGATTTTGGTGCTGAAAATTACATTTTTATGCAGTAAATCGGATTGGAAAATGAGGGGTTGCAGAGGTTAAGGGAATATTAGAAGGTGGACTATAAACTTGAAGCTCACAACACCTATGGTTTCCTCTATAATTAGAAGGGTATCTAGTGTTTGGCTTGATTGATCTGCAATCACAAAACTTTTATAATTAGAGTTTTCTTGTAGGGTTTGCTATGCCACCATGTGGCTTTGCCACATCAAAGTTTTCAACAATCCTCTAGTCAAACATTGGAAAAAAAAAAAGGTGATATTGCTTTACTTTTAATACTTCTAAGATAACATGGTTCTTCTTAAAATGTAAGAATATTCATTGCTCCTTTGATAAAATTTAGGGACATTTTTACCCCTTAATTCCCATATAGTTTTCGAGTATAAATAATAAAATGCCCTCACTTCCCTATCTTTTTTCACATCCACCCACCACCAAATCTCCCTCACCTTTTAATATAAGGTGGCTGTGAGATGGGATTATATTTGAACCTATGACTGGTTGACTTGAAAAAAAAAAAAAGCATACAGCCACAAAGTTATTAAAGCATTTTAATATTATAATACAAAATTATATATATGCGTATATTATAAACTTTGTTTTCAGCTTTTATCCTCTTTACTTGTGAACAACTTGAGTTAGCTTGTGATTTGGTTTTTAATTAATTTGTTAACGAAAACTGATCCAAAAGGTTTAATATATACTTACAAAGTGTTATATGATTCTTGAAAAAAGTGAGGGCATTTTAATAATTGTGCTTTAAAAGTTATTTACAATAAGAAAAAATTGAGACTTCAATGCAATAAGAATTATCATATCGTCAGATTTATTTTAAAAAAATCAGATGTATTTCTTAAAAAATGTAATGATAAAAATTATTGGACCTAAATTTTGCTGACACTTAAAAAACGGAACTTTCCTTAAAGAACTTGATCATCGCGGAAGGCCTTGACAAATTAAAAGTTATTTGGCTGTTGGTTATCGAAAAAAGAAAAAAGGAAAAGAAAAGGGCAAAAATCGAGAAAAGGTTATTCGGCTGTTGGTTTTTTACGTTTCAAGGGACAAAGAGGATGTCTGGAAAAAAAAAAAAGGGGACAAAGAGGATGAACAGAGGAAGGAACAGTGGGTAGTGCGAAGAACGATGCAGATGAAAACCGATTCGTACGTTTACAGAAGTCGCAGCCCCAATCACGCTTTCCTCTTTCCTTCTTCCTCTTTCTTCCTTTCAATTCAAACTCAACATCAGCTACGAACAATACACAATCATCATTCCCCCCAACCCCACCCCCCCCCCCGCTCCCCCTCATTCTTCTTCCTCCTTTGCGTGTATCCTGGCACTACAAACTAGAAACAAACAAATCTCCCACGATCCTAGTTCTCGAAACTGTTCAGATGTAACAGAGACCCCATCAGTTTTCCTCGGAAAAGAGGAAACTGCCCTTTCTCTCTGCTTGTCTCTCTCTCTCTATGTTTTGGGTTTAATCCGGTGAGGCTCAAGAGAGAAGAAACCTTTTCTGTTGTCTTCTTTTTTAATATATTGAGGGTTATTCTCAATACTATTTGCTTGATTTTATTTTATTTTTCTGATGATGATGGTTAATGTTTGGAAAAAGCTTACTCTTCCTTAAAGAGCCAAACCGAACCCTACCCCATTTCTCTTTTATCAAACGCATTACTTGAAAAAGATATAGCTGCCTTAGCTTATAATATACACACACTACTCATGGCCTCTTCTTCTCGCTATCTTTAACAACCAATTCTTCAAATACATCGATGAAGACAAAGGACAAAAGGTGCACAGGAGGTTGAAGAAGAAGAAGATGATGATAACGAGGAAGAGGAAGATGGAGAAGAAGACGACTTGCTGAGGCTAAAATTGGGGTCAGGATCTGCTGCAACCTGGTGCAGGACAACAAGTGGGTGATATTATTGGTGAATCAACGCAGAGTAGGTCCAAGATCTGGCTCACTAGGGTTAGGGTTAGGATTAAAATTATGGCCAAACATGGAGGAAGAGGGTTCAGATATGGTGGGTGTGGAAGACTAAAAAGAAGATTTATTGGGAGGTTACCATCATGGCAAATGGATTCTCAAGATTGGTATAATAATCCCACTCCACCACCTCATTCTCATCATTACTCTCACACAAATCCCCACCACTCTGGTTTGTGGTTTACGCTTCGCTCTTCTACAACCAGTAAGCCCAAATTTCCATTTCTTCATCATCATTAGGCACTGTATAGCTTTCAAGCATATATCGCACTAACCTTAAATAAATGACACAGTTTTAATGTAGTCTTCACCCACTTGGAATGATCTTAACAGAGGCTTTCTAAAATCAACTTTACTTAATTTTGGGTTTGATAATCATTGTTGCCTACTGCTCCGGCAACAAGTGTTCTTCTCGTGTTATGTCCATCATTACAAGATGTACACAAGCAACCTGAGTTTTCGATACATCATCACGTTTTAGTACCTCGGTTTCTTTCCATGTCAGTTGTATGTAATTTTATGAATATCCGTACTGTCGCTCTTTTATCTTTTTATCTCTGTTGGAGGGAGTTAATTTGGCTAGATATGGTTATCGATGTTTTAATTGGGTTTTGGATATAATGCGCAGAAGAGGAGAAGCTTTGCCTCAGGTGCCAAAGGCGTACATTAGAGTGAAGTAAGTGGTGCAAGTTAGCATGCATGCCTGATCATCATATCAGAAGCATATATTTTCCATTTTCTTAATGATGGGTTTATTGAAATGAGTGAAAAGGCTGACTCTAGCTTTTCTTTGCCTTTTCTGTGGCCTCTTTTTTTCTCTTCTAACTTTCTTGTCAATGTTTTTTCCTTTTGTCCTTATTTAACTCTGGGAAAGGAACGAAGACATGACGATCTTCATGGTTAAGAAGTATCTGGTTACAAAACTTGGTCTTGCCAACGAAAATGAGGTACATAATTCATCCTCAATCTGATATGATCTCTTTCTGTTTCTTTTTTTGATTTCATTAATTTGTTGTTATTGTTGTTGTTGTTATTATTATTATTATTATTATTATTATATTAAAGCATGCATGCATTAGAGGAAGTGAATTGACAAGCTCTCATTACGTGGGTCATGTTATGTGAATGATATCTTTCTTCTCTGCAACTGCCATGCATTTGACCAGAAATGAAATCGAAAGCCCTAGCTAGTGTGTTTTAGGGTTTACAATTTCAGAGGGTACCTCTAGTCTGGATGGTAGACCATTAATGATGAACTAACTGTCAACAAGGTTTCATCATCACCTTCTTTTGCATCAACCTCTCGAGCGTTAAAACTTTTAATTATTATTATTATTATTATATTTTTGTTAAGTTCTTATATTTCATCAAGTTTGCAGGAAGCACTATAATATTAAAGCAACTTAACTTGGAAAAATATTGTAAGGAAAATGACTTTGATAAGCTTTTTAACTTGTAACTTTTAAAAAATCTGATGGTGAAAAAATTTCTTAATTTGCTATATATTAACTTGTCAAGTTAAAGTCTTTGGTTTCGGTGAATGAATCATTTCAATAAAATGTGTTCCCAATAATTTTGAGATCAAAGTTACTTATTTGTCTTCGTTATCAAATCAAAAAATAGATATCAATATCAATATAATTAATTTGCATCACCGCTAATTTAGAATAAATCACAATATTTCGTGCAGAATGTTAACCTTATATAGAAGGTAAATGAATCGGAGGAGATTTTTTTTTGCCCAAGCATTATCAAAATGTCAGGGGAATGCTTACATAAGAGGGTGATTCGTATAATTTAACCACAGAATATTATCAGCCTGAAATTATAACTGATGTATCGAAGAATTTATTCAGGGAGGCGCTTTGCAAGTCTTCCGACGTTATACATCTTCTGCTTTTGGCTTTGGTTGTGATACACAAATTCTTTGTTGTTTGTAGGTCTTGATATACTATCTTTTTTAAAGAAAAAAAATTGTTTCCTCTGCGACCTGTCTGAGGATTTTACAAATTAGGTTCATCACATATGTTACACTAAGATTCGTGCGTGGCTATATAAGAAAATGCCTGATTTAAGATATGTGTAAATAGTTCACGTTTATCTTTGCAACTGATGTTTAATGGACTACGATCGTGAGGGTATAGGCTAGTCTGTTTTTTCTCCATCATTTGTAGCCTTTTGAATGCCTTTGCCGATGGCTCATGGCTTAACATTATTTTCTTCATCATTTAATGAATATCCCTTTTCTGATCAAGAGAAGAAGAAGAAGAAAGCTAAGTCGTTCTCTATTTACTTAGGATTAATGGTTTAATTCTTTATCGAAAGAAGAATAGTGATGTGATTAATCTACCTTCACCATCGACTGAATAGGAAAATGATCACGGTATTGAAAGATTTTGAGTCTTTGGGCTGAGAACACAAGATTTTTTGCCAATTATTAGAAACCCGCTGTTAAATTGGATTATCTTCGTACATTTCTGTAGGTATAATCAATGCTACTTCTCTTTACTCCCAACTGCTCTCCTTTATTTCTTTATGACTGTGTTATACGAGTACTATTTGTGCATGACGGATCTTGCAATGGTTCCATGTTGAAAGTATTCCTATTCTCTTTTACTTTTTCTTCAATGTAAGTCTTTGATTCTGCTAGCTGCCTGAAACAACTATAATAGTAGTACGTGTAATGCTCTTGGGAGGGACTAGAAAGCCATTTCTATAAGCCATCTTACAGCTTATAATAGAAATCATGATACTGATTATCATAACCCCATTTACTGCATGATATTATATTATATATATAGCCATCACGCACAGTTTATATATAGAATTTACTATTGCAGGTTGACATCTTATGCATGGGACAGAGATTGTTGAATGTGCAAAGCTTGAAGGTGGTGCGGGACGCTATTTGGATACCTGCACTTGTTGATTCTTTGAACTCTTCATCTAAATCACTTGTCGGCATGCCTACCCCTAATCTAATGCCATTACTTTACCAAAAAATATAGTCGTCTCTAATATATAACTGACATCATCATTTTGTAGCTACCTAGCTCTAATTTTATTTTAGTTATCAAACTACATGTGTTTTAGATATCAATTTCTGATCTTCTCGTCATGTAAAACTAATGCCGCCCTTATAATTTGTTTTTCTATATAATTAAGCACTTGCTTGACTCCTCCATCAGCATGTTATATAAATCTATAGTTCATGAATCAATACAAGTCGCTTATGTATGATTATTTTTTGCAGTTGAAAAATAGGGATTTCCGCGTGTGTGTGTGTGTGTGTGTAGAGAGAGAGAGAGGCGATTTAATTAATATGGCACGCAGACAACCTTTAGATATTCCCTAGATATGGTTATAAAGTTGAATCTTACTAACAGAAAAAACATGATAAAAGAATTATTTTCATTTGTGACGATGTAAATTCTTGTCTTGAAGAAAAGTTGAGCCAATATGTATTAATCTTGAATCTGAATGGCTGAAGGAGCATTACATTACTTTGGAAAGGAATGTTAGCAAATATGTGGAAGCTTCGCTGCTAATATACTGTTTTCCAAGCAATGACTCCGTCGCTATTATGTAGAAAAATACATGCACATGTTGAATGCAAAAAAAAAAAAAAAAGTTAGAAGAGCCTCCTGATGTGACCATATCATGTCATCCAAGTTGATATGAAAGGTGGCAACTAAGATCTCATTTGGCTGCTAGAAAAAAATAAAATATAATGGATTAAAAAATAAAAAATAAAATTTGTTTTTCTATATAATTAAGCACTTGCTTGACTCCTCCCATCAGCATGTTATATAAATCTATAGTTCATGAATCAATACAAGTCGCTTATGTATGATTATTTTTTGCAGCTGACAAAATAGGGATTTCGTATATATATAAATATAGAGAGAGAGAGAGAGAGAGGCGATTTAATTAATATATGGCACGCAGAAACCTTTAGACATATTCCCTAGATATGGTTATAAAGTTGAATCTTACTAACAGAAAAAACATGATAAAAAGAATTATTTCATTTGTGACGATGTAAATTCTGGTCTTGAAGAAAAGTTGAGCCAATATGTATAATTCTTGAATCTGAATGGCTGAAGGAGCATTACATTACTTTGGAAAGGAATGTTAGCAACATATGTGGAAGCTTCGCTGCTAAATAATGTTTCCAAGCAATGACTCCGTCACTTATTATATAGAAAAATACAATGCACACGTGAATGCAAAAAAAAAAAAAAAAAAAAGGTTAGAAGAGCCTCCTGATGTGACCATATCATGTCATCCAAGTTGATATGAAAGGTGGCAACTAAGATCTCATTTGGCTGCTAGAAAAAAATAAAATATAATGGATTAAAAAATAAAAATAAAAAGGTAAGATTATCAAAATATAAAGAGAATATGTTAACCATATTCATAAAAAAATTTGTATATAGAGTTGAGAGTCATAATAATTTATGAAGTTTTTTGGAGTGTAATGACATTCACATTTTTAATATTTGTATTAAATTTCATCATGCTTACCATGGAGGGAAAAAAGTAATTTAGTTCATTTTAATTTTGACTTTTCTCTATTCATTTTATTTCATTTTTTTTAAGAACCACCTAAATTTTACACAGCAGCCAAGGTGGCATCATATATGGTAACCAAGTCCATGTGTAATCCAAGATAAGTTTAAGCAAGCTTAAGATCCTCCTTATGTCATCAAAGGTCCCATGACTAGAAATCCAGTTAAAAAGGGAAAATAAAAGAGAGGGATTCAGATAATATTAAAAACGTACACTTTGTTTTTCCTTTTTCTGTTTAACCTTCTAGCCTGTTTTGTCCCTTCTTCTTTTTTTTTTTTTAATGTTTGAGTAGTAGCTTGTGAAAAAAATAAAAGTTAATGTAAATTATTTTTAATGAATGCATATAATTCTAATTCACCTTTACGTGCAGTGTAAAGATGCATCTAATTATACCAAATGGATATGAGTAACATCATCCGTATACTTGGTGGCCATGGTATTGTCCCGCCCTGAGCACTTCACAATGATATCTTTTTTGATGTGCCATCATGTAGTGCCATTTTGCATTACAAAAATAATTTTCTCTTACATTTTATAATTATGTTTTTTATTTATTACAATTTTGTTTTCGATTAACAAATTGGAGACAAGCAAACTATAAGGCTTGATTTATGAGGAAAATAGGGACAGAAAAATAAGAGAAGAGAAAATAGATTGGAGAAAATAATGAATGCACTTGATTTTCTCTTCTTATGTTTGGCTGACCCAAAAAACAGAAATGAGAAAAAAAGTTATTAATTTCATATGGACAATAATAATTGAGTTAATATGCAATTGAAACCTTGAACTATAAGTCTAGAGATGATTGAACTCTAATTTTTAAAATATACATTTCAAAAACTTAAACAATTAAAGTTAAGCTAATTTTACTTCACTATTAAATTTCAACAAACACTCATAAAAATAGGGTATAATGTGCGATTTTACTAAATGAGAGTAGGAGAGAGGGAAGGAGTGTGAAATTAGGTGAAAATCACACATTTGGTCCCAATTTTAAAAAAACTAACAAACATTTATTTAAGTTGATGATGGGTTGAAATTACCACAATTTTAATTGTTTAAAATTTAGAATATACCTTTTAAAATTTTAGGATTTAAATTATTCTTAGACCTAGAGTTCAAGGTTTAAATTACATATTAACCCGTAACATTTGAATCATAGAACTTAAATTTTTGATATATTATTTATCTAATTTTCATTATATATTACTTATGGAATAAAAAAAATTCATTGGGCAAAGACTAATAGAAAAAAAATATAATTATTGCCAAACTATTTTACAATTTTTAATTTTTATTTATAAAATTATAAACATAAAAATATACAATAATCTAATTTTAGATTGCAACACCAATAAGAATACAAATATAGGAAGATAGGAGGAGGGAAATGAAAAACATCCATAGATAAATTTAGAAAGGAAGTAGAATTTTCTCTCTATGATTTACCCATTTTTAAAAAGAAAAGTTGGAAAGAGAAATGCATGAAGTTCACATATTATTTTTAAAAAAATTTGTTCTTCCTTTTATTTTTCTTTCCTTGGCCTAGTCTAAATTACTGTAGGTTATTATTGACAGAAAGAAATAAATTGTATAGATATGACTATAGATATGAGTTGAATATGAGAAAATTTGCCTTATGTTTTTTTGGGGGCGAGGCAATAATTTGACCGGACCTTTTAGAGCTATCTCTTAATAGGTTCAGGGTGAAAAGTGTCCATCCAAAAAATGTGATATTCAAAAGTAATTTTATTTGTAAAATTTGATTTTTGAGCTCTCAGGCCTAATATCAACATGCAGGCTTTAGGCCATTTTATTTGTTTTTCAATTTTTATCTTGAATTAATATATAAAAAATAAAACAATGAAATTGAAAGTATAAATAATAGCATATAACGTATCATTCATTGTTGAAATTCCTAAAGTCAAACTAAATCATTGTCATACTTGGCCACAGCTAAATAAATCAAACTAACAAGTGATGAGTGAATTGTTGAGGATTGAGGAGAGGTGACCGGACCAATAATCAATGATCATGAACGAAGTGATTTGGTTGGGTTGGGGTTTCTTTTCTTTGTTTTCTTTTTTTGCCCTTTAATCTTTTTCCTCTTTAATTCCATGTTGGTTTTCCTCTCCCTCCTCGTTTTCATTCATAAATATTAATAATTGATAAAAAAATTAAACAGGCTTAAATAAACCAATCCTTTTTTTTTTAATCTTATTAGAGGAAACCCGTTTAAGTTTGATTAAAGATTGAACCTCAAATCCTATGGTGTTGCTCTCAAATTAAATGAGCTTAAACAAGTTGGATTTGATAACTTGACTCATTTTTTTGAGTCTAATATTTGTTCTATCATCTAACACTAGTTATCTAGTTAGTTTAGACTTTTACATGTAGTACTCCTTAGTAAAATTTGATTTTCATTATAAAAAAAAAGAAGAATAGTGAGAGGATGTTTTTTTTCCCCTTAGGCACGTGAAAGCCATCTCATTTTAAAGATTAGAAACTTTGAAAAAAATATTTTAATTTAAATTTTTTTAGGAAAGATTACAACCCAAGGCATTTGAGAAAACTTATTCACAAAAAAATATTAAAAAAAACTTTGAACCACTGTAAAGGATTAGGGGACACAAAAAAAACTTTGAACCGCTGTAAAGGATTAGGGGACACAAATGTAATTAAAATTTAGTGTAAAAAGACAAAACTTTTTCTCAATTTGTTAAAAAAAAATTCTCATACTATCACCGGTAGCTGGCCATTAGACCGGTCGTTGTGATGGTGCCAAATTAATCTTTTTTGAATGTTCATAAATAGTTACTTGTTTAAATTATTAATAAAATTTATTAAAAAATTTAATATGCACATATTTTTATAAATATTTATTTATTTTTATTCTTAAAGGCTTACACAAACTTGTTATTTTATTAAAATTTGCTTGTTAAATCATTAAAAAATTTAAAGTTAATAATAAAATTTATCTTTTTACAAATGATTACTTGTTCTATTTTTTATAAATATTTTTTTATTTTATTATTAAATGTTTATTTGTTAAAAGTCTATGTGAACTTTTTTATTTTACTAAAATTTAATTATCAAATTATTTTTGCAAACATTTATAAAAATGGGTGGAAATTATTTTTTTTAACAAGTTTCAATTAATATTTATCATGTAATTATTTGTAAAATAACAAGTTCTGTATTAACTTTAAATTTTTTTAATAATTTGACAAGTAAATTTTAGTAAAATAACAAATTGACATATAATTTTGATAATAAAATAAGTAAATACTTATAAAAATACTACATATTAATTTTTTCAAGCGTTCTTATTAGTAGTTTAAAAGAGATATTTATTTGTAAAGTGATAAATCCATTGCTAATTTTAATTTTTTTAATAATTTGATAATAAATTTTAGTTAAATAACATGTCATATAAGTTTTGGTCATATAAACTTTTATAATAAAAATAAGTAAACATTTATAAAAACTTGTGCACGTTAATTTTTTTATTAGTCTCATTAATAAAAATGACAAGTAACCATTAAATTATGACAAGTATTTGGCTTAGAATGTAAAAATAAAATTTAATATATATAAAAATTTATATTATATATTAAGAGTCATTATTAGCTTAATGGCTAA